GCACCCAAGGATAAATGTAAACATATTGTATACCTAAAATGTACCAATAAAAGAATTAAAAAAAATTTTTTAAATACAGTATTATAAAGATGGAAAATACAAAGCATTCACTTTAGCTTTTATGTGTACATACTGATAAAAATAGGGTTATGCTGTAGTACTACTGTTCCATGTCAGTAAAAATGATTCCTTTTTATTTGCTTTTGTTGGTTTGTTTTTTGAGATGGGGTCTCACTGTGTAGTTTAGGCTGGCCTTAAACTCACTGTGTAGCTCAGGCTGGCCTGAAACTGTTGGTGAGCTTCCTCCTGCAGGCTCCCAAGTGCTTTGATTACAACCATGTACCACCACACCTGGCTCTGCTTTTTTTTCCTATAACACTATTTATTGAATGATTCAGGGACTCACTTACCTAAACCGCATAAGCATGATTAAAAATTCAGCTAAAGCCAGGCCTTGAAGTTGTAATCCCATCTGGGGCTGAGGGAAGAGAATCACACAGTTGATTCTAGCCTGGGAAACTTAAGTGACTTAGTAAGACTACGTCTCAAAAAAATAAGTAAATAAATATTATACTGAATTTTAATATTTCTTTGCATTTAATGGTCGTATAATACCTCGTGGATATATCTTCATTTATGCAGTGGATCCCTTACTGATAAGCATTTAATTCTTATTTTTTTATCTGCTGTTAAGAACATTGTTGTGGCTGGGCGTCGTAGCACACGCCTGTAATCCTAGTGAGGCAGGAGGATTGACATGAGTTGAGGCCAGCCTGAACTACACAGCAAGACCCTGTCTCAAAAACAAGCAAAACAAAACAAAAACAAGAACATTGTTGAGACAGTTGAATGTTTTTATGTATCTATGGCTCCTGCAGATGCCCACTTCTCAAAAACTTACACTTTCTGATTCTTCATTCTGCCTAACAATGATTCCATTTCTATTTAACAGCTTTTCCCTAAGTGTTTAGCAGTTTACAGCAGCATATGTCTGGTATGAGGAAGAGAAAACACAAAGAACTTGGCAGTTTTTTGTCATAAGACAAAGACCTAGATGGTTTATTTGATGTTTCATTTATTTCCCAATGAAATCCTGAAGTGTGGTTTGGTTGGCTTCCATCTCAGCTGTTCATAGTACTTCTGTGAACATGCATATGCAGGATCTTCCGGACCCAGCTTTCAGGTATTCTGGTTATATAATGCGAAGTAGGATGCTGGATTGTATGACAGTTCATTTTTAATTTTTTGAGGAACCACCATACGATTTTCCATGACCTTTTCACAACCCCACTAATAGTGCACCAAGAGTTACAACTTCACATTCTCACTGGCACTTGTCATGTTGTTATTCTTTTGAATGTTTTTGTTATGTAGTTGCTATCCTAACAGGCATGAGTAATATTATATTGTGGTTTTGATTTGCATTTTTTTGGTGATTAGTAATGAACATCTTTTTTGGGGGGAGGTTGGTTGTTTTTGGGGGTTTTTTTTTTGGTTTTTTTGAGACAGGGTTTTGCTCTGTGGTTCAGATTGGCCTTGAATTCACTATGTAGCCTAGGCTGGTCTTGAACTCACAATGATCCTCCTGCCTCAGCCTCCCGAGTGCTGAGATTACAGGCATGTGCCACGCCTGGTATGAACATCTTTTTATGTGCTTATTGGCCATGTTATATATCATCTTTGGAGAAATACCTACTTTAAGTCCTTTGCTTATTTTTAAATTGAGTTATTTAATATTTTCTTTTTGGGGGGTGGGTGGTACTGGGGATCGAACTCAGGACCTTGCGCTTAAGAGGCAGGCACGAGAACCACTGAGCTAAATCCCCGGCCCTATTTAATATGTTCTTATTATGTTATAGTCTCTTGCTGTTTAAGAATTAAAATCAATTTTAAAAATATGTACGTACAGTGGACTCTTGAGTTACAACCAGGCTGACATACGAACAACTTAGGTTACAACTGGAATTTTAGTTTTAACTTATGACCAAAGTCTTGAGTATGACCCAAATGCTGGCTGCTTATACTTCCAGATGGTCTCAGATACAGATTTAACACTTACAGAGTTCTAGAAGGAACATTACAACATCCTTTCCTGTGTGGGGTTGAGAAATACTGGGCCAGTGTCTCTCTAAGGACACTGAGATCAGCCTGTATGCAGGAGAGAGACTTTGCAGGCTGTGTAGAGGAGCCTGAGCCTTCAATTGGCTAACTTAAGTTACAACCAGCCCGCAAGAATGAGTTGAGTTCGAAAGTCAAGGATCCACTATATATATATATATATATATATATATATAGTGTGTGTGTGTGTGTGTGTGTATAAAATTACCTGTTGTCTCCAGATAAAGATAATTTCTAGGACCAGCCTTGGGATGTAGGAGTTGCTGTGGATGATTCAACTGTTTGAATCTTTTTTGGGGGGAAATCAGGTTTATATGACTGGAAAGAAAGAGCTTGCAACTAATAGAAACAAATGTCTTATAGGGGTAGGACTTTGTCTTAGTTCCACTCCGTGAGCTAGCCTTTAGACCTCAAATCTTCATCCACAGTATCTGATATACCTGCCTCTTATCCCAGGGCAGCCTCCCAGAGTCCTTGTCATATGTGATTTGAAAGCAAGGATATGAACGTTGGAGTTAGTCAGACTTCATTTCAGAATGATGGCTCCAACAGTTTACTAGCTATACCTTAACAGTAAAGTATTGGTGTTTTTCTATGGTGTTCTTTTAACTGGAAAATAATACTTTATAGGGTTGTTTTAAGAATTTAAGTATGTCAGAGTATAGTATATAGTATATACCTCCAGGTATTCCTTGACCACATTCTCTCAAACCCTTTCACCTCCCAAAAGGCCCCTACCTGTGTGCCCACAGTATATACTTATCATATAAGGTATTACACTGTGATATAGTTGTATACCATGGCAGATTCTTGTATTAGTTTGTAAATTCCTTCACTTTGAACCTCTAGCACTCAGCAGGGCCAAGTTTGTAGTTACTAAATAAATAAGTATGAATGAATTGCACGCATACGTGTTTTGCTGTATTATCTCTCATGAAGCCTGTTTCATTAGGATAATGGATTTATACCATTATGTAGAATAGCCAGTATTTAGGAACTAGTTCCATGAAACTTTTTGGTCTCAGGATCCTTTTAAACTCATAAAAATTATTATAAACCCCAGAGAGTCTTTATTTACATGAACTGTTTTTCATGGTCTTAGAAATTAAATTTTAAATGCTGATTTTTAATGTAGTGGTGAATCCTTGAATGTTCATTCATGTGCCATGTTGTCATGAAAAATTACTATTTCCAGTCCTGTCCTCCCAAATTTTCTAAATGAGACAAATATGTTTTACAGTTATCCAAACTTTTCTTTTTGTGGCTGGCTTGAAAGATAGGTGGGTCTCACATCTACTTCTGCATTCAGTCTGTTGTAATAAGTTGTTCTGGTAAAAAATGCAGAATATCCAGCCTCACATAGACATGTAGTTGAAAAAGGGAAGACCTCTGAGACTTCCTCCAAGAGTCCTCTGAAAATACTTCTAAGAACCAGTGATGTAATACATGCTGGAGGCATGTGGGAATGTCATACTTGTCAGGTAAAAGGGCCGAAGACCAAGACCAGACCAGGCCACGACAAGCCTTTATTAGGGGAATAGATCTGCCGGGCTGTCTCTGAACAAAGGAGAGACAAAGCAATATGGCTGGGGCAGGGAGAGTCTTTTATAGAGCCTGGGGTGGGGTTTGTAGGGGCTGAGGTGGGGTTGAGTGAGGTAGTGACTAGGGAATGGAGGAGCCGGTGATGTCACTAGGTGGTAGGAGGTGAGCGAGTATTAGGTTACTGTCTAGGTGGGAACAGGGGCATGCTGGGAAGAAGGGTTTGTTCTTTGGTGGGAGCAACCATCTTGGCATGATGTCACACAGGGGAGGGGGCAAGGCACCATAGGAAGAGGGCAGCTACTATACATAATAGCTGCTGAGGTGGTGGGAGACCTATCAATACTAAAGCCCATTAATATGTTCAATTAATATGTTAATAGAAAAGAAAATTTTTTGAAATTCAAAGAACTACTAATCCATTGTAAAAGGAAAAATATAGTGTCTAAAAAATGAGGAAGGGATTGAGGAAAATTCTGTGTTTAGCTCTCTATAAATAATCCTTTGTCATTTATTATTTGTAGGTTAAAAAATCCTTCATGAGCAAGAGAGATCAGAAGCAACATGATGGATTCAGAAGCTCATGAAAAGAGGCCACCAATCCTAACATCTTCAAAACAAGACATATCACCTCACATTACCAGTGTTGGTGAAATGAAGCATTATTTGTGTGGCTCCTGTGCAGCTTTCAGCAATATAGCAATCACATTTCCAGTTCAGAAGGTCCTCTTTCGGCAGCAGCTTTATGGAATCAAAACCCGGGATGCAGTACTTCAGTTGAGGAAGGATGGATTTCGAAATCTGTATCGTGGAATCCTTCCCCCATTAATGCAGAAAACAACTACCCTGGCACTTATGTTTGGTCTGTATGAGGATTTGTCTTGCATTCTCCATAAGCACGTCAGTGCTCCAGAGTTTGTAACCCGTGGTGCGGCTGCAATACTTGCAGGGACAACAGAAGCCATTTTCACTCCATTGGAAAGAGTTCAGACATTGCTTCAAGACCACAAGCATCATGACAAATTTACAAACACTTATCAGGCCTTCAGGGTGCTGAAATGCCATGGAATTAGAGAGTATTATCGAGGCTTGGTGCCCATTCTTTTCCGTAATGGATTCAGCAATGTTCTTTTTTTTGGCCTTCGAGGTCCCATAAAGGAGCATCTGCCTACTGCAACAACTCACAGTGCTCATTTGGTTAATGACTTTATCTGTGGAGGTGTATTGGGTGCCATGTTGGGGTTCTTGTTTTTTCCAGTTAATGTTGTAAAAACTCGCATACAGTCTCAGATTGGTGGGGAGTTTCAGTCTTTCTCCAAGGTTTTCAAAACGATCTGGCTAGAACGGGACAGGAAACTGACAAATCTCTTCAGGGGCGCCCATCTGAATTATCATCGGTCCCTCATCTCTTGGGGCATAATCAATGCAACTTACGAATTCTTGTTAAAGATCATATGAAAAAAGTCACCAGTGAAGTGCCATGTATCAACTGAATAGACCTGAGAAAAACGCAGTTTGACTTAGGTTCACATTGGCCCCCATACAAGTTGGTGTCATTGAGTCCAGGCCACAGTGAATTATGGGAAAGCCATTTTCCCTGAGCATCAACAAAAACAGAATAAAAGGTTTCAGTAGGAAGCTTTTAAGTCATTTTTTTCTTTTGTTTTTAATTTTTTATCATTACCAGAGAGCTTTAGGCTAATTGCTAGTAAATAGCTGTTTATCTGATGGTCTTTCACAGGGTATCCTAATAAGCCAGACATGATTCTTTTCCCCAAAACAGCCTTTAAGCCTTTTGTATTGAAGCATATAATGGCCATAACCAGCCAGGGAAAATGCCCTCAGGGCCCTAGGACTTACCAGGCTTACTTTGTTACTCCATTTCTTCTTTGCTGTCAGGAGCAGTTGCGAAGGGTAGTCTTCACTAAACTCAAGCATATTATGTGGCAGGATATGGGCAGAACAGAAAAGAAAAACAGCTTATTTGGTCAATCTTTTATTTTTGGGGTTTTTTATGGAGGGTAGGGTACAAGGGATCGAACTCAGGACCTTGCACTTGTGAGGCAGGCATGTGCCACTGAGCTAAATCCCCGTCCCCGTTTGGTCAATCTGAATTGTTGGTGTTAGTTTTGAAATTAAGCACCTGTTGGGATAGTCATAATCCAGACTGTTTTCTGTTTAGATGCGATAGATGGAATCATGCAGCTAATGAAATTTCTCATTTTGTGTTCTGCCTTTGGACGTTTTCTTTTTTTTGGTACTGGGGATCGAACTCAACCTTGCGCTTGCAAGGCAGGCAGCGGAACCATTGAGCTAAATCCCTGGCCCTGAATGTTTTCTGTTTAATTCTGAATGTGATCTTAAGCCCTTCCAAAATATCCTCAGGTTCATTTTACTGATTTCATTGGCAAAAGATGGAAGATTTAAAATTTTTATAGGTGTTTGTTAAGTTGTTAGATACATATAGTTCCTCTTCTCTCTAGCTTGGTTTATTTGAATTACTGGCTCCAACTTAACAGCTTTGGAGGCTTTTTCCCCCTTGAGTAGTAATTTGTCATATTTGAGCATCCTGTTTTCTGGAAGCTATACTTTTAAAAAATAAAACACTTCCATACATTTTAGGAGTCTGTTAATATCCCAGGTGTTTGTTTGTTTGTTTCTCCTTCTGGTTTCTAAATTTTATGGAGGTGGGGGGGCTCAGGATAGCTCTTGCCCCACAGTGTTAGCTGTCTTTAATTTATTCTTGGAAATTGAGACTCCTCTAGGATTTCACATTTGGGGAACCCAGTTTTACCATTGTGTCATTAAAGCTAGATTGGGAGCATATGATCTAAATAAAAACATTTGAAGGGTTATGTTGAATAATAGAGGTTGGTGCTAGCTAGATAGCCTACTTGTCCCTTAACTTACAAAGCTTGTCACAGAATCAGAATATTTGAATATTTTTTCCAGGTTGGTGAAGCAAAATGACTTATACAGCAATTGCATAACTAATGAAAACAAGAAACATCCTGGAGAAATGGTTAATGAATCTTTAAAAATATATCTGTAAATATATGTACTTAAGATTGCTTCCTGCTGTCTAACAAGAAAGTAGATGTGTCTTTTTTTGTGGTTCCAGGGATTGAACCCAGGGCCTGTTGTACGCCTAGGCCAGGGCTCTACCACTGGGCTGTGCCCCAGCCACCCCCTTCTCCCTTCTTAAAGGTAGGTTTTTTTGTTACCAGTTTTTTCATTTTTCTGGGTAATTGCATGTGAATTTATGCATATACCAACCAAAAAATCAGGGCCTCAACCGACTGTTTACTCAAAGTTTCTGGGCGATAGTCCAAAACAGCTGTTTACCTCGAAATGTGCTATGGCCTTTTAAATAAAGTGAACATCCTTTTTCCAGTTGTAAAGGATTAAGCAGCATATTAAGCATTAGCAAGATAGTAGTGAACCTAAGCAGCTTAACAGCAGCTCTACTTAACAGTTTTGTGCTAGATATAGCAGTTTAGAGATCAAGGTGCAGATGTTGGGATTTCAGAAAACAAGAAGTTGACACCAAATAGCTTTCAGTAGTATACTTTGGCCTGTTGAAGAATCAGGACTTGAAGGGAGTTGCAGAAATGAATGAAGATGGCACCTGGGTTTCTGGACCCCTCATTGACCTGTGGAAGTTGAGCACCTGTAGGCATGTCTAGGAGCATAGCACAGCAAGGGGACTTAGGGTTACACCCTCACCCTGGGAGTGAACTCCATGGGCCTTCAGCTCTCTGGGGCTTGCTTTTGTCTACACTCCATGCAGGAGATAGATTTTACTTGTAAAGCACTTTGGTGAAAAGTTTAGGAAGATGCTTTGGTATTTGCCCTATCAAGTGGCATTTGAAACAATATTTTTAATGGTTTTAACTCCTTAAATGTGTCACTTTTTACTGTTCTTGAAGACCAAACTACAAATACATTACCAGAGATGGTTTTGTGTTGTGTTCTAGACTTAATTGGACAAAAAAATTAAGAACTCGTAGCCAACAGTTTTATCTGAACTCGAAGGCAAAATGTGTAATAAGTAAGAAATTCTATTGTTTTTACCATCAGTGTGAATTAGCATGGTACTGTTTTTAAAGGCAAGTATGATTGAATAACTGTGCGATAAGCTTTAAAGTGGTCTGTTACATATGTGGCACAGATACAGCTCATGAGCACAGGGCCAACTCTTGTGTCCTGTGCTTCATGTCTGATGTCACCAGAAATGTCATGAATGCTGTATTAACACTGAGTTATATGATCCCTGAGGACTGCACCACAAACACAGCCTTTATATTGTAACTATGTGTCTTACTTGTTTCACTTGTGGTTAGGGATAAATTTTGACTTTTTTTTGTCTAAATAGCCACTATTCATTCATCTTAACTTATGGTTGGTTCATCACCTGCTATATATTGACCTGTGCAGTAAAGTAGAATTGTGTACATATAGGTGACTTCGGATATCTGGAATTCCCAAGCTCAATTACAGTGAGTATAAATGTTCAGTATAAGGTTGTACAGACCTGTAAGGGAATAATGAGTAGCAGACAGGATATGTGAAATGGGATGTAGTGGCTTACTGTGCATACACCAGTCTTGTGGAGCTAACACTGGTGCTGTATAGATGAAGTACTGTGGTGTGAGGGCTGTGCAGTCATGAGAGGAAGGCTAGGCAGGAGCTTACATTGGAAGAAAGGCTAAGCACTCAGACCTGTTTTCCTTTATATTGAAATACAGTGGACCCTCGAGTTACTACCGGCCTGACATACAACTTGGGTTACAACCGGAATTTTAGTTTAACTTATGACCAAAATCTTGAATTATAAACCGAATGCCAGCCACCTGTGCTTCCAGATGGTCTCAGATACAGATTTAGCCCTTAAAGAGCTCTGGAAGGAACATTACAACATCCTTTCCTGTTTGGGGTTAATTGAGAGATCCTGGGCCAGTGTCTGAGGACACTGAGATCTGCCTGTGTACAGGAAGGAGACTTTGAAGGCTGTGTAGAGGAGCCCGAGCCTTCAACTGGCCAACTTGAGTTAGAAGCAGCCCTCAAGAATGAATTGAGCTCGTAAGTCAAGGGTCCACTGTGTTTGTTTTCTCATGTACAAATGCATATCAAAGACTTGAACACCATTCTCTCAAAATGAGGATTTTTAATTTTTAATGCTTTTTGTGTAATAAATATTTACTTGCCTAAATGGCTCCCAAGTTGTGTGAGCATCTCTGTATGTTTCTTCTTTTAAAGTCTCATTATTAAAAGTCAATTACCAAATACAAAATTTTTGTTTGCTGTTTGGAGTTATGTGACTGAATTTAAATGAAATCTCTTCAGTGTTTCAGCATTAACATACTTGGGGTAATTGGAATAAAGTTTTTTGCTTTTTATTTTTACATTTCACTGAAAACACTGGCCTTGTGAATAGAAATGAGAATTTATTTGCCAAGAAGGATGATCCCATTATATTTATGCTAGAACCAGTGCATAGCCTCCTCTGTTCATTGTGTTTGCCCCCAGTGCTGCCTACCCTGCACTTCTTGTCTGCAGAGCTGAAACCTGGCCTCCTCAGCACCACATTGAAGTCCATGCCATAGATACCAGGGCTTGGGCATATTTGACACCCAGATCAATGTGCTCCTGCATCCCAGAACTACAGTTGCCAAGCCAGGTGTGGCACATATCTGTAATCCCAGCACTTGGAAACCTGAGGCAGGAGAATTGGTATGAGTTTGAGACCAGCCTGGGCTTCACAGCAAGTTCAAAGCCACTCTGGACTACATAGCAGGACCCTGTCTCAAAAAGGTTCCAGGCTGGAGATTTAGCTCAGTGCCGCTGTGCATGCCTCGAAAGTGCAAAATCCTGAGTTCAATTCCCGGTACCAAAAAAAAGTTCATAGTATTAGAAATTATTTTTCCTTAATTCATACTTTCACGTCATTAGACCTTTCTCCTGCGTTGGCCACACTGACTGCAGTGGACAGCAATCTTTTCACTTCTGATGCCAAAGGGTCTGACAGTGTATCTTTGGAAAATACAAGGGTGTAGCCTGTGAGCTTCTCCAACACCTTGGCTGCCCTGGTCAGTCTCCAATCTCCTCAACATAAATGTTGAGGCTGAGTTTGCAGAAGCCAAGCTCCCAAATGGGATTCTTTTCATTTTGATCCCTCACTGCAGCCCATGAGACATGCCTGTGGCCCTCCAGGTGGCTGCCTGAAGTCCACTCCTAGGAGGGCAGGAGGGGAAGTGACAAGGCCCAGCCTAGCACCTTTGGCCAGCACTATGGGGACTGTTCTGCTCAGACCACGGGCAAGAAGACAGCCCTTGTGGCCCAACTGATAGTATAGAGACATGAAGGGAAGCAAACCCAGGTCTCAAGCTCTAAAGTTCTGTCCATCCTATTTGATGTTTTGTGGTTGGGGAGATTGTTATCACTAGCATTTTTCCTTTTTTGTGTGATAGATCAGTCTATTCCTTATTTGATAAGACACCATACTATCTTGATCAGCAATTCACTGGTAGACTGCAGGTAAAATAACTTACACTTCACCTCTCAATTCAAATGTCCCTCCCTCAGACACTGGCTCAATTTTCTTTTTTAAAAATTAATTTCATCATTCCATGCTCGTAGGGCAGAGGTGAGCCAGTCCCAGCACCCAGGAGGAGGCTCCCCCGCCACCATTCCATTCTCCCAGGGCAGAGAAGGTGAGCCAGTCCCAGTGGCCAGGAGGAGGCTCCCCTGCCGCCATTCCATGCTCCTAGGGCAGAGAAGGTGAGCTGCGCGGGTGCCAGAAGCACCACCCCCACCCCCCGCGTGGAAATGAGAAGACATGTGAACAAGCCTCAAAAACAGACTTCCAGATCACCTACAGCAACCCCAAAGGGAAACAAGATAGAACAATCTAATACTCAACCTCCTGGACTCCCTGAACTGGCAACAAAAGAGGATCTGGGAAAAATGAAATCAGAAATAATTTCTCAGATAACAGCAAAGATTGTGCTCAT